CCAAGCATTCCATAGTATTTGAACACGTGACGCTGTTCTCTGATCAGCGTCTGTTTGTGATAAGAGACCCATGACGTGTCTGTGTTGTCCAGCAGATGGCGGCAAACACTGTGAAGTCACTCAAACACGTGTCGCGTCACCACAAAGCGCTCGTGAAGTTGCGCGAGGTGCTCAGTCACCGCTGCTGTTTGTCGTGAGGTAACTTAAACATTGTGAAATCTGTCTGTCTGCTGGGTGAAATAGAAATGGAAGTAATGGACAGCCCTCTAAATCGTGTAAGTGATTTTTTAAAAATCACAGTATAATATAAAATGTTCTGGCAACCTGTGGTTACTTGAGCTGTTACAGGTAAATACAAGTCTCTCTGTTGTGGCTTTACGTATTTAAACTTGTAAATAGCCATCCTAAATTTATTGTGATTACCAAATGTTAATTGGTCAGGCCCTTATGTCTAAATAAATATATAAATAAAGCTAAATTTAGCTAAATTTATACATATAACCCTCCCCTCCAAAAAAGATAATTAACAAATATTTCTCATAACCAAAGTCATAACTGACTTGCAGGATTTTATCTTAAGAATTATGAAATGTAGTAACTGGCACGTGCTATTTTGGATTTCATGTTCATGGTATTAGTCACTGTTTTAAGACTCAAGCATCATCTTAGAAGAGTTGATTTTAGAGATAATGATTTTAAACCTGTAACTGTATTTCCCCAGAAAGCATGACAGTTGTTTTTCCACAGGCCCATCATTTTGGCCGAAAGGCAGATCAGTTGGTGGCAAAGGAAAAATTTGAAGAGGCGATTTTATGCCATAGGAAAGCAGCAGGTAAATCAGTGAAGCCCCTTTTGTTCTCTTAAGAGCAAGCACACATAAAGAATTGGGATGGCATGAAGATAAATGAAGGAGTGAATGAATCTGTATTTGTTTCTTTCTGCTCAGAGCTGATGAAAGAGGCCTTGTCAGTGACACCGAGTGAACAGGTAAAACAGCATGTGTCTGACAGACAGGTGGGACTCTATTCCAGCAGTCTGGCATGTCTGAATCATAGGCCAAGCTTTTGAGTAGTGTACTTCTTTTTAAAATATTTGATTTAAAGCTTTTCACATTTTAGAGAACAATCCTCCAACCCTCATGCCAGCAAATCGAAGGAGAAAAAAAAAAGTATAATGTAATGATACATGCCGAGTAGTGTGCATTTTAATATTCAAATACAAGGTGGAAGCGATTTTAAAGGGGTCATATGATGCGATTTCAAGTTTTCCTTT